TACATAAATCTTCAAAGGAAAAAATTAATGTTGATATTGGTAAATTTCCTTCTGGTGTCTTAGTGAACTACAAAATAGAAATAATAGAGACATTTAACAGAACCTGGGCATGTAAATGCATGGCACAATTTTAAGGGCACAAATATTTGTATTGGCTTTAAAATGTCACTGAATTGTAATTATAGTGACAACATCAATATAGAATCTACTGAGATGTTCTTAATATTCAAATTGAGGGGGAATTAATCCATTTCTGTCTTTAACAAATATTGTGGTATTCTTAAGATTCTAAAATAAAACAGATGTAAAAATTATTTAGAAAAACAATGAATCTTATGCCAAAAACACATTTTTATGGAATAAAATATGTATGCATATGCAATTTTCAGCAAGTGAATGATATATATGAAATAATATATATTTACATATTCTTAAGGAGGAGAATATTTACATTAAGATGGATAAAATAGAAGACCAGAATATTGAAAATGACAACCATAGTGAGGTTTGTCAACTTCAATAATCATTAGCTGTATAGTTTGCTATCTTTCTTACATTGTCATTTTGATAAAACAGCTATGATACTGATTTATATATTTGAAAATTCTCATTAAATTAGAGAAACAAAAATGTTCCAATTTCTGATACTCAACAACAACTTCAATGTATATATTTTGGCTTCTGACTTTAAGTGAATTTTTTTATGAAACAACCTAGGCAGACTTTCTATAGTTTTGTATTATATATGACACAAATTCTCTGGTACAACAGAAATGGAGATAGCTACATTAATTTTAGCTGACAGTCATATCTCGTGGAACACATGAAAGACCTGAGGTTCTTTGCATTCCATCTTATCATGCGGATTGTTTAATATTCTTTCATACAATGATTCCATACAATCAGAATATATGTGAGGTGTACTGAATACGGCACCTAAAGTTCTAAGTGTCACTGAAAAAAATACAATAGTAAGATAACAATCATTTCAATTTTGACATTTAATTTCATTAAATTTAGTGAGATAAATTTGAAGATCATGGTTAAATGATATGGACTAAAATAATCTGCTAAAGATTGTAGAACACACTAATGCAATCTTTGATATTTTATACAGAGTATATATATATAGGTTTTTATTTATATGAAAATATTCTTGATAAATCACTTAGTGGCATAAAGTGGCATATTTTCTTTCATAGTTTCAGGTTTTCAGTCAGGAGTTACAGGTAGTAATGAAGTTGGGTAGAATGATCTTGGCAGTAGTAGTTAGTGAATGGGAGGCTGACAGTCTGGGAAACAGGGAGGACCCGAAAAGAGATATGCGTGGTACTGTTGAGAAGAGGAATGGGGCAGGATCTCCTGAGTAGATTGGGAGCATGGGGCAAAGGGAGAGGGAGCTGGGAGAAAGAGAGGGGAAGAAGAGGAGGGGAAAGGAGGACATGGGGGAGCAGGAAGGTTGAATTGGGGGAAGAATAGAGGAGAGCAGGGTGAGAGAAACCATAATAAAGGGTACTATTACAGGTTTGAGGAGAGATCTGGCACTAGTGAGATTTCCAGAGATCTAGAAGGATAACAGCAACTGGCAATCTAAACAATAGTGGAGAGGCTACCTTAAATGACTTTTCCCGATAATGAGATTGGTGACTACCTTATATGCCTTCCTAGGAACTTAATCCAGTGGCAGAGGCAGACACCCACAGCTAAACACTGGAACCAAGTGTCAGAGAAGGAGATGTGATGATCAAAGGGGTCAAGATCAGCTGAATCCCACAGAAACAACTGACCTGAACAAGGGGGAGCTCATGGACCTCAGACTGATGGCTGAGAGGCCAACATAGCACACTGATCCTGACCCCCTGAACGTGGCTGTCAGTGAGGAGGCCTCGGCAATCTGTCGGGCCTAGGGTAGTAGATCATTATTTATTCCTGGCATACAAATGGACTTTGGGAGCCCATCCCACATGGAGATCCCCTTGGGGAGTGGAGGGAGGATGGGTTGGGGACAGTGCACGAACGGAGATAGAGGAAGCTGGATTGATATATTTCTAATTTAAATAAAAATACTGTTTTGAATGATTAATGAATCAAGTATTGATCATAGGTTTACATGTCTGATAAGGCATAGCAACTTAGTAAATAAAATGAGGAGTATTAGGGGAGTTATGTTTATCACTCAAGTTTAGCAATTTTTGCAGAGATTCATTGACATGCTGTTATTTATTCTTATGGCTATTGCTTGCATCATAGAATCAAAATTTTAAAGCAGCCTGCATAAGTCATAAAGTTTTAAAGCTCTAAACCAGAGTCAAAAGATCCTACTGTCTAAGGTACTGGAATATGATTACTTTAGAATATAATTATTTGATGACATGAATAAAATTTATTTTGTCAACATAATTAACATCATCATATTCATCATTTTATTGATGCAAAAACTAAATTATTTTTATATAAACAATGTAAAACAGTTATTCTAAGTTGCGATATTTATCATTAATCCTCTGAGTTATTTAAATGCCAACTTCTTACTACCCCAAATATATAGATATTGGATTCTTTCATATGTCCCTAGAAAGACATTGACAAATTCATTGAATAATTATTTCATGCCTCTAAATTTTAGTATGAGTGACCTAAGAGAGCAAAAGGGAGAATGCAAATTTATGACTTGAAGAAAATTATACAAATGGAAATATCTACAGATTGTGAAGGGCTAGTTCAAAAACATATGATTTGATTTCATCTGAAAATGATGAAATATGTATAATATCAAACACTAACTTGGTCTCAACTATCCAAATAGGTAAATTACTATGGTACTTGTAAATTGAAGGAACAAATGAAGATTTTGCGTTCTAACTGAGGGTTAACATTAAGACGTATGGGAAGTTTGTTCACATAGACTGAGTTTTATAATAAATTAAATCAAAATTGCTGTAATACAGTCAAAAATCATTATTTGTTACTCAATAACAGTGTTGCTCAATGTCCAATAAATAGCATGAATCAACAATGAAAAACCTTTCTGTTCTATCAGTATTGAATGGTTTCAAATGACATAGTATCTTCAGTTCTAAATGTGGTATGTTTCAAGCAAAGAGCTGCTTCTCATACTCTTTCTATCTGTACATTCTGGAAACAAGGTTCCTTTTGATGCCTGATGGGAGATGCCTTGGGTATTTTTTTTTCTTTTATTGGTTGATGCGTAAAACACTGTTTTGCCAATAGCCAGTAGACATAGGAAGATAGGCAGGGCTAGGAGATGAATAGAATTCTGGGAGAGGTAGGCAGAGAGGTGCTTCAAATAGTACAACAGGTAGCCCCCAAAGGAGAAATAGGTTCTGGAATTCTCTGATAAGACAAGACCATGTGGAAATACTTAGATTAATAGAAATGGGTTTATCATTAAGAAAGAGCTAGCCAGTAAGTAGCACTAGCTATCAGTTAACAATTTAATAATTAATATAGCATCTCTGTGTGTTTTCTTTGGTGCTTAGGGGTGACAGAACCTGGCAGGACAAGTAACTCCAGAATCAGAATCCATGATTTTCAAATATTTGGAAGATTCATTATGGGAGCTCTAACTGAAGTTAGTGAACAGAGAGAGGCTGGGGTCTAGGAAAGAAGTTTTAGTTGACAGGTGTATGTACAACAGCTATCAGTGGCCCAGAATAGCAACACAGAGCCATGATTCATACCAAAGATTAAAGGAAGTACTGCCTGGGGATTATGGACTGAGAAGAAAGTCTTACATGAACATCATAAACAAATGACTTATAATTTTTAAAAATATCTTTTGCTAGAATTTATAGTTATCAGGAACACTGTGAAAATCACTGGCAAATATCAAAATCTGGTTTCAGATGTGAGAAGTAATCTAAAAGTTAAGAGAAATAAATAACAAGAATGGGTCATTATTTTAGACTCCTTGTTATAGAAGAAAAGTGACATATGTCATGATATACGCAAGTGAGGTGGGCCAAAGTGAATACTGCTCTCTATTTATTTCTCTAATGTCTAAACGACAGGAGCTTGATGTTTATGGGTGACTAGCAGGTAGCTCCCAGAAATGAGACAGATGATGGTACATGAAACACAGGGGTAATGGATTGGGAAAGTCCCCGGAGGGTCCTCATAGTGAAGGGATCAACAAATTCATGTTATGGATGAAAAAAGAAACATCTATATATGAACAATGGGAGCAAGCGAGAACACTTACAGAATCCATTTGTACTGAAAGCATCACACATCACTGTGGTTGTCAAGGTAAATGTACAGGTCGCTGCCAACCCTGCATTATGTTTCCTGTGACAGATGTATAATGTCAAATAAAAAATTCGGAAGGCTGTGGAGAACTGCGATTTAAGAAATATCACCAGAAAACTTTTAAAATGATTCAGGTCATGCTTCTTTCGTAATTACTTAACTGTGAATAAGTGTTAAATAGTTTACCAAGTTTTTTGAACTTCAAAGTGAAAATTAGGTATGGTTGAAAAATATATTTTATGCATAACTTTTTATCTAACTTTAAAACCATGTTTCTCTGTTTTTTTCAAGCATTTCTAGTTTTATTTTCTTTCATTCCACTCTCTCTGTAGTACTCTCCATGAATTCTGTCTAGTTTAAGACATTCTCTCAATTTCTCCACTTCATCTGATCATAACCTTACATCTACTATCTGCCTTTCAAGATCTTTCTTCACAACCTACCCCTCCAATATCATGCTACCACTCTATTCACTTGGCTTCAGTAATTACTTCAGTATATAGTTAAATGTAGAGATTCAGAGCTAAGGTTTACAATTAAGAGAAAGCATATAGCATTAGTCTTCCTAGGGCTGTATATTCTCATTCAAATATAATGTTTTCTAGTTCCATCTATTTATGTGCAAATTTTGTTTAATTTTTATTTGCAGGTGAATAAACTCTACTCTATACAGCTTCCACATGTTCATGATAGATTCATCATTTGAAACATTTTGTTTTTTTCTGTTTGCTAGGTGTAGTGAATTGAGTGTCATTGAACATGGCTGAACAAGTACATCTGTAACAAACTACGTAGCCTTTGGACAGATGCCAAGGAGTGCTGTAAGTAGATTGTATGGTAGATAATTATTTAGTTTTTTGAGAATTCTCCATACTGATTTCTGTAGTAGCTGTACTAGTTTGCACTCTCATTAACAGCAAAGGAAAACGCCCTTTCCACACATTCTTACCAGCATTTGTTCATAGTTATTTTCTTAATCTTAACCCTTTTGACTTGACTAGGATTAAATACCAAAGAGTTTAAACTTGGATTTCACTGACTGTTCAACATATCTTTGTCATATTTATTTCTTCTTCTGAGAAATTTCTGCCCAGATGTGTATACCAATTTTAATTGGGGCATTGTTATTTTTTTGACTCTTGGGATTCTTTTTTATAATCCTGACATTAATCCTTTCTCAGATGTATAGCTGGCCAAGACTCTATCTCATTCTGTGAACTTCCAATTCACAATATTGTTTGCTTTAATGTACAGAAGATTCATATTTCTGTGTGTATGTGTGTGTGTAACAATAAAGCATAGCAAATTAGTTAAATATTTGTCTATATATGTGAAACCATAATAATAACAGAATTAGAATTAGAATTAGAGCTGGAGTTGGAGAGTATTAAGAGTAATTTGAAGTGGGAGAGACAACAGCAGAGAATTTTCCCCTAAACTAAAAAAGGAAGCAAACAAATAACCTAGCCTATCAATGTAACAGCTTAAAATTATTAAAATTTAAAAAGGTTTTTGTATTTTTATATGACACAGACAAGAAAACTGTGCTAATAAATGTTTTCTAGTTAGCTAACAAGAATCTGTGTAAATATACCCAAAATAGTTTAAATTGTAGGTATAAAAAGCAAGTAAAGGTGAGAAATATAATATTAATTCATAAAGGAAAAGAAAGGATAAATATCATGCAGTAGAAAAACCTATCAGCAGCTCTTAGTTAAAGGAAAATGACTTCTGAGGCAGCTCTTGACCTAGCACAGGCTTATATCTGAATGTGTACCTGATGTTACATTTTCCATATCAGCACTCAGGGCAGTGGGGTCTTAATTAGACTTCATCGACACTGAGGAAGTTGTTAGGTGGCAGTAGAAAGATCAATACGAGCACATCAACCTGAGACACTGGGTTTTGTAAACAACCATTCTCAAGACATCTGGATCTTTAGTAGCTCTTAACTTTGATCAAAATGTAAATTTTACAATGAGAAAACTGTTTTCTGATGACATAGAGGAGCTTCTGAATGTCAGTTCTGGATAAGTGAATGATATTTACATATGTAATGGAGCAAGAAGAAATGTTGAACATATCCGAATTTAATCAATATAGTCAGAAGATGGAAGAAAAGACACCATCATATGCTGTGTTGAAATATTCTTACCTCATTATTATGCATAATAGGTAAAGAGTTCAGATGTGTCATCTTTCCTTACATAATTCCTATCAATCTATTTAAAAAACCTTACATCTCAAACTATTCACGCAAGGGTATTAAATTCATCATTGTGAGGATTACTTCAAAACTATTTCCTCATCCACTGAAACATATGAAAATCTGCACAAAGAGCATCTGAGATAATTTCTGACACTTATACTCATGTTACCAAAATAGAAAGGACAGGGCTATCTATCAATTATTAGTTTCTACTTATATATTTTGAATATAGTGTCAATCAGTGTAATTATGGTAATAAAAATACAGGAATGAAATGCGCATTACACCATAAAACTTTTTTATTTTAATTTTAAATAGCTTGTTTTACACGTCAATCCCAGTTCCCTCTCCTTCCCCTCCTCCCGCACCCCCCAACACCCCCCCAGCTTCCCACCCTATTGCCAATTCCTTCCACATAGGGGATATCTAGAGTCTGTCATTTCACTCAGGGTAGGGTCCAGGCACTCCTCTAAGAGTCCAGGCTGAGAGGGCATCCCTCTTTGTGCTATGGACACATGATGTCTGTTTGTATTCCAGGGATAAACACTGACCCACTGCTCAGGGCCCCATAGGTTGCCCAGGCCTCCTCACTGACACTCACATTCAGGGGGGTTCGGATCAGTCACATGCTGGCCTCCCCGCTGATAGTCTGGGGTCCAAGAGCTCTACCCTGTTCAGATCAGCTGTCTCTGCTGGTTTTGCCAGCCCATTCTTTGCCAATTTGCTCATTGCTCCTCTCTCTCTGTCACTGGGTTCCTTGGGTTCAGTTCAGTGTTTAACTGTGGGTGTTTGCCTCTGCTTCCATCAGTCACTGGATGAAGGCTCCCGGATACCATAAAACTTTAAAGAAAATTTCTAAAATTGCTTCAGTGACATTCTTTGAAAAGTACATTTACTTGCTTTGTAGGTATGCTGCCGAACTCACTGTTGTGTTTAAGAAATATTCAATAATGCAATGACGTGTAGAATCCTACATTTCTACAGCTGCAAGTAGACAAACTGTTTCAGATTTTAATTCAGGGTAGTCAGTCTTTAAGGAGTCATCTAAAATTGTATTGATATAATGAATGCTTGTGCAGCGATCAGTCATGACAGCAGTGAACTTCCACAATTTTCATCTGCACCTTCAGTAAATTGGGGCAATTGCTTTGCAATGCTCTTACACCTCCTTCTAAATAAAAAATATTCACAATTCTAAAACTTCACCCTGGCTGAACAGAAAACTGCTCAAACTAGAATTAAATTTAATGATAAAATATGTTCAGAAATATTTCTTCCATGGTCACTGGCAAGAGATTAAAATTAGAATAACATAATATAGACAGCAGCCCTCATGTACTTTAATAGTTTCTACAAATATTAAATACTTTTATTATAGATTTTAATGGATTTGGGACAGGCAAGAGAACAATCTGCAGTGTAACTTAATTGGCTCAAGTCTCCACAAAAACTTGAAATTAAGTTTAGAATCTGGATTTGGTGCTGAATATTTTCTTTCTCTGAATACTATACTCTTGTGTTTATTACTTTCAAATGTGCATCATCCAATATTAAAGATAAAGAGACCACGTATTGGGGTTACTTAGCTCAAGGATGGCTCAAATTAAGTTTACACTCCTCTTTCTGAGTTTTCCATCTGTCTTTAACAAACAGCTTTGTTCTACATTTGTCTTATGGTACAGAAATCATAGTATGGAAAAGGAATTAAGAATGTGTTTGTTTAGGAGGGCAGTGGAGGTGCAAGCCTTTAAGCCCAGCACTCGGGAAGGAGGCAGGCATTTCACTATGAGTTCAAGACCAGCCTTCTCTATGGAGTGAGTTCCAGGATAGCCAAGGTTACTCAGAAAAACCTGCCTCAAAAAAAGTCTTTGTTTAATTGACATTTTGCCAGAGTTTACAAGACACAAAGTTACTTTATTGACTCCTACTGCAGCAAAATTACACCTAGAACCACTAACAGAAGTAAACAATCTATACTGACAGGCTACTTCCAAAATTTGGATGAATGATATTGTAAGGTTTCTTTCAATTTTTTTTGTTTTCTTCTGCTTTCAGCAAATGATTGCCACAACACACGCACACACACACACACACACACACACACACACACACACACACACACACACACACAGTGTAACTTTGATCAGTGGCATGGAAGTATACATAATTTGAGATTGAAGATTGAAGCTATGCATTTCCCCCATGTTTAAGATATTTATGCTCTGTAAGGTCTGTTATCTTCTCAGAATGATCACATGGTAGTAAGCCAGGCTTAGTACCCAGTTTTAAATGGTCTAAGGTATATTAACTTGGTTGTGTGGTCTGGCAGTGGTTCAGTTTCTGAAATCAAGAGGTATTTAGGAAGAGAGGAAGAGAGTTGGTCATGGGGGATCAGGAAGTTGAGTGGGTGGGGGTAGAATGTAGGGGGAAGAGGGAATCATAGGATAGAAGACAGATCAGGCACCAGTGAGATCTCTAGTGATCTAAAGGGATAACACCAATTGGCAAACTAAGCAATAGTGGAGAGTCCACCTTGAATGCCCATTCCTGATAATGAACTTGATGTCTATACCCATCCGGGAGCCTTCATCCTGTGACTGATGGAAGCAAGGGCAAACACACAATTAATCACTGAACTGAACCCAAGGAACCCAGTGACAGAGAGAGATGAGTGATGAGCAAATTGGCAAAGAATGGGCTGGAAAAACCAGCAGAGACAGCTGATCTGAACAGGGGAGAGCTCTTGGACCCCAGAGCGACAGTGGGGAGGCCAGCATGGGACTGATCTGGACCCCCCAAATGTGAGTGTCAGCGTGAAGGCCTGGGAAACCTATGGGGCCCTGAGCAGTGGATCAGTGTCTATCCCTGGAATACAAACAGTCATCGTGTGCCTATAGCACAAAGAGGGATGCTCTCTCAGCCTGGACTCTTAGGGGAGTGCCTGAACCCTACCCAGAGTGAAGTGACAGACTCTAGATATCCCCTATGTGGAAGGATTTGGCAGTAGGGTGGGAGGGTGGGGGGGAAGGGGAGTGCGGGAGGAGGGGAGGGAGAGGGAACTGGGATTGACATGTAAAACAAGCTATTTAAAATTAAAATAAAAAATGATAATAAAAAATGTGAGAACAAAAAAAGAATTTATTCTCATACGAATAATTGAATAAAGTCCAGATTTATTAGCACAATATATGATCTTCAGGGTTATGTATGGAATTAGGTGTTTGTGATGTATAAGCTTGATTGTCACCTTGACTGGAAGAGGAATCAAAGGGTAAACTGAGCATACTTGTGAGACATTTTCTTGATCAGACTATTAAAGTGAAGATTACTCACAAATATGGATACCTGCTCCTGATGGCAACCCATCTAAAAGCCTGCAGAAGGAATCTTTCTTTTTTGTCTCCTTTTCTTCACTTTTTAAATTTTTTTATTGAAATTAGAAACTAGCTTGCTTTACATATCAATCCCAGCTGCCTCTCTCTCCCCTACTCCACTCTCCCCTCAGCCCCCCCAGCCCCCTACCCAATGCCCACTCTTTTACCCAGGGAGAATGAGGCCCTCCATGTGGGATCTCCAGAGTCTGTTATTTCATCAAGGTCAAGACCTAGGCCT